TACCGTGTTAGACTTGTGCAAAGGGCTCAGTGACCATTAGTTGACTGAATTTCCACAACTCTGTGAGTTAGCTGTTTTTATTACCTCCATTTGGCAGTTGACACTGAACCTTGCCCAGAGCCTTCCAGTTAGTAAGTGGTGGGGCTGGGTTGCAGAATCCAATGTTTGACTCTGCAACCACGCACGTGCTTGAGACTTCGGCAGCCTTCCTCCACCACCTTTACACAGGACAGAGAAAGCTCCTTAATAACACCTCTCCAACTTTCCATAAGCTGCCAGTGGGACTGAGGAAGGATTCATAAAGAAGAAGGGAGAGGCTGTGGGGAGAGAGTGGTTGAAAAGTGAAATGGATTTTGAATGCAGTAAAGGAGGCGGGGTCTAAAGGGAAGAGTTGGAGATAATAATCACAGTGGCTGCCATTGAGTAGGCAGGCAGAAGAGCTTGCAGAAGCAACGGCTTTTTGTGTTACTACTACCGAAGAGGATTGAAAAGATACCGTGTGCCCTGGTTTTGTGATGCTGTTGGGCAGGGAATTTCTGAATAGTAGGAGTTTGAGGGTAGTGGGGATTTGGATTGTATTGTGACACTGGAGAGGGTAGAAGTCTGGCTGGGGAGACTCGTTCTGCAGTGAGCATCAGTGTAGGTTTTTTTGTGTGTGGGAGGTAGAGTGTGAGGGTGGATGCAGGGAGAGGGAATAAGGAGCATCGTTAACAGCCTGGAGCAGTCCTAAGTAGTTCAGGGGCCAAGAAGTGTTTAGTTTGGGGGAGCTTTGAGAGCATGTGGGATTAAGAAAGAGAAAGCTTCATTTACTTCATAGAGCCTGTTCTTTGGTAATAGTTAACAGTTTAACACTGGGAAAACTGATGCAAACAGTTCATGGAATAATTTCAGCCTCATTTGTTAGTGTGTGCAAATTTTTGGATTGGTGCCAATGGATATATAGTGGCTTAAGTGTACAGCTGAATGCTATATGAGTGCTGAGTGTGCTATTTACAGCTTCCTGGGGGTGTCATCCTTGAATTCTTGGAAGGCAGCCTATGTAACAGAGCACTTTTACTTTTGCAGTTGACATTAATTTAGCTTTTGGAGTCAAAGTGCTCCGGTTTTTATTGTATAATAATATCTATAAAATCTTGTTGAAGTTTTATCTGTGTAAAGTACACAGATTATTAGTATTCACTTGATGAATAGTCACCAAGTGAACAGTTACGTAAGTACTACCCAGATTAAGAAATACAAAATTTTGGCTGGGCACAGTGGCTCACACCTGTAATACCCTGTCTCTACTAAAAATACAAAA